TTTGGTGTTTATGTATATAGATCTTAATTGCTAGGTACATTAGTATTTGAACTCTTTTTTATTTCCCCATACATTCCTTCTTAAACTAATCCAAATTACACATGAAAAACAACATCATTAAAAGTACATGAATTCGGTTTTATCTATTTTTTAGGACAATATTGCAATCCCAAATCAATAAAGCAGAATGCATGTAAATGAATGTATAATTATAATAATACTTTCAATATTTGAATATATAAAGAAGGAATAGTTGATGTAATTTAATATATCAATTTAATCAAAATAAATATTATCGTTATTGGAATAAATGAAATATACGTATGAAAGAATGAATGATTTTGAATTTGAGTATGAAAGAATGAATGAAAAAGAAAGAGAGAATGAAGAGAAAGAGGCCTTTTGCATGAGGCTATATTATGTAAGAGGGATGATCCCCGGGCACCCCAACCCTGGCTTCCCTCCCAAAGCTGCTGGGGGAATAAAACAATTTAAATCNAAAAAAAAAAAAAAAAAAAAAAAAAAAAAAAAGTTATTTTACTTTTTGTATCTGTACAAATGAATTTCTAGATCTAGAATTTCTAGAATACATACAAAGTAGCTCCTTTTAATATAAATATGTTATACAAACTAGCTCCTTTTAATATAAATATGTTATACAAACTAGCTCCTTTCAATATAAATATGTTATACAAACTTTTAGAAATAAATGCATAATAAAAAATATATGTATATATATATAGAAAGTATATTCAACAGATAATTTGAAACAGTAACTACTTATTTAGAAATACGCTAGAGTGTTTAGATAAAAACATGTTGAGCAAATAAACAGTTACTATACAGCTTTAGTATAGAGGTTCCCGATATATCAGTACATGTAATGTAAAACAAACACTTACCCTACAGCTACGGTGTGGAGGTTCCCGATATATAGGTACATGTAACGTAAAAGAAACACTTACTCTACAGCTATGGAGAAGAAGTTCCCGATATATCGGTACATGTAATGTAAAACAAACACTTACTCTACAGCAATGGTGTAGAGGTTCCCGATATATCGGTACATGTAACGTAAAACAAACACTTACCCTACAGCTATGGTGTAGAGGTTCCCGATATATCGGTACATGTAACGTAACACAAACACTTACCCTACAGCTATTGTGTGGAGGTTCCCGATTTATCGGTACATGTAACGTAAAACAAACACTTACTCTACAGCTATGGTGTAGAGGTTCCCGAAATATCGGTACATGTAACGTAAAACAAACACTTACTCTACAGCTATTGTGTGGAGGTTCCCGATTTATCGGTACATGTAACGTAAAACAAACACTTACCCTACAGCTATGGTGTAGGGGTTCCCGATATATAGGTACATGTAAACTTAAAACAAACACTTACTCTGCAGCTATGGCGTAGAGGTTCCCGATATATAGGTACATGTAAACGTAAAACAAACACTCACTCTGCAGCTATGGTGTAGAGGTTCCAGATATATAGGTACATGTAATGTAAAACAAACACTTACCCTACAGCTATGGTGTAGAGGGTCCCGATATATAGGTACATGTAAACGTAAAACAAACACTTACCCTGCAGCTATGGTGTAGAGGTTCCCGATATATAGGTACATGTAATGTAAAACAAACACTTACCCTACAGCTATGGTGTGAGGGAACCCGCTATATCGGTACATGTAATGTAAAATCATTGCAGCATGTAAACCCCATGTGCCCCGGTAAGATTGTCAGGTACCCAGGTATTAAATGTCAAAGGTCATATCCTAAGACGAGTCATTGGTCAGTCTACAGTCATGTGTCAAAACAATACTACTTAATTACTAATACGTAACACACAACACACAAAAATACGACGTGTATAAACATTAAGGTGGTTTGACTCATAAAATATCATAGAATTTGAAACAATAACATTTATCCTAATCTGTTTTATACCAACAGAATATATTCCAATGTTACTAAGTAATATATACTTATTTATACATTATACCTTGTCACAATCATTTGCTTCCTCATTATCGACAAATTTCATTGAAATGGAAATTGAACCTTCGGCGAGGTGTGGCTTTTTAAATCCAGTCCAGTTTGATTTCTAAAAAAATAAAGCATTGTGCGGAAACCGTCGATGAAACAGAGTGTAAAATGCTTAACTATGCGTGGATATCTCTTCAGTTTGAAAGTACTGATAAAAGTAAATTACTATAACGTTTTTATTATGTGTAACGTCCATTTAACAGATACGATCCCTTTAGACGTGCGCCGATGCGTGCATGTGTATAGGTGCTGGAGACAGGGAATGTCGATGTATCTATCCTTGTGTGTTGTGTATAGGTGCTGGAGACAGGGAATGTCGATCTATTTACTACCTTGTGTGTTGTGTATAGGTGCTGGAGACAGGGAATGTCGATGTATTTTCCACCTTGTGTGTTGTGTATAGGTGCTGGAGACAGGGAATGTCGATGTATTTACCACCTTGTGTGTTGTGTATAGGTACTGGAGACAGGGAATGTCGATGTATTTGTATCCTTGTGTAGCGTGTATAGGTGCTGGAGACAGGGAATGTCGATGTATTTTCTCCTTGTGTAGCGTATATAGGTGCTGGAGACAGGGAATGTCGATGTATTTGTCTCCTTGTGTAACGTGTATAGGTGCTGGAGACAGGGAATGTCGATGTATTTGCCTCCTTGTGTAGCGTGTATAGGTGCTGGAGACAGGGAATGTCGATGTATTTGTATCCTTGTGTGTTGTGTATAGGTGCTGGAGACAGGGAATGTCGATGTATTTGCCTCCTTGTGTAGCGTATATAGGTGCTGGAGACAGGGAATGTCGATGTATTTGTCTCCTTGTGTGTTGTGTATAGGTTCTGGAGACCGGGAATGTCGATGTATTTGTCTCCTTGTGTAGCGTGTATAGGTGCTTAAGACGGGGAATGTCGATGTATTTGGCTCATTGTGTAGTGTGTATCTAATGCCGACTTCTGCTTGCAACATAACTGAATTACTAGGCCGAAAACATTTAGCACAGTATTCCAACCGGTCACATTATACTGACAACGGGAAAACCAGTTTGTATAACCCTAAATGGGTAACGTTGAGCAGGGGATAACGACTACATTTTAAGGACTTCGATATGTCCTAGCCTTGGAACATGATACATACTCTATTGAGGCGAGCGTGTATCACTAACACTACAAGCGAGGTATTGCCAAGAAAGACAATAGGAAACAAAAGAACGTTTTTTAGGAAGTGGAGAAAAAATACAATGTTCCAAAATGTTTCATTTTGGGCAGTCAGGCGCGTAACTGCCACGTAAGCAAATAAGCAGTTACATGTAGTTCGAAAAAGTGATTAAATGATGTGTGGTTCATTTGAAAAATATATTAAATTTAACTGTACAACCGACAGCAGACAATCAGTACGTATCCGGAAGTTCCAACCTATAGGGTACCTGGTGCCGATTTTATTATTAGTATTTTTAAAGTTGTGAACTCATCGGAAACATGACTTCAAAGCCAACGAAAAACCCGCATCATCTTCTAAGAACAAGTTCATGCATGACTTCTTCCAAGCAGCTGTAGGTTCACATAAAACAACATCCTCTTGCGACATTAACGTAGGCATCGACGAGTCTAAAATGGCTATTAGTATTAGGGCCTAGTAATGCCGGACCGACCGAACACAGTTCTGATCAGTCTGAATGTTGTTACCCGTGATATCGGGAATACAAGCGAGGCCGATATTCGTCTTACTAAAGTGAAGGTGGATATCGATATTCTGTCTAAAAGATGGGAAAAAGCTCACGAGTTCAAATTCCATACACGGCAACATTTTAACAAGCGATTGTAATGAAATACAACTAAGTCAACGAAGGCGGGTTGTTGTTCCGGAATGGATGTATTATTGTGTAATTTTTTTTTCACCAATTAAAAGTCTTCCGAATAACAATTGTAGATTGATTTGTTACTAGCATTGTTGTTATAGGTTTTAGGGCGGATATATGCGCGTATAGGATCCATCTGAGTTTTACATTCACTTCTCCTGCAAATGTAATATGAAAAAGGCAAAGCCTCAAAAGTCAGAAAAAAGCCACGTACATGCAGCTTTTGCTAATCTGTGACATTATATGGGCCTTCATTTGTCCCTGTCATGAACTGATAAAGTATTTATTAAGAGTAGTCCTAGGCCTATCTTTAGAAGGGCTACTGGATATATATGTATACATATATGTAAACATCGATATAGGAGCTACCGTCATCTTATGTTCTGAGAAATGTTGATGATATAAAAAGGATTTTGGGGACACAACAGCAAAAAATCTGAAATTAATCTGTTCATATTGCCTCCGACATTTTAAATATCTAGTTAATTTAGATTCATCAGGATTGAGATATGACGCAACGGATATTTTCGGGTAATTCCAACAATCGACACATTTTTGTCGGAGAAAAAAAGGAGAAAAAAGAGCTGTCTTTCGCATTTGAAATACATTTGAATTTTTGCGATGCTTTCCAATAATAAAGTGAATGAATCAACCAAAAAATGTTGTCTGTAAATTAAATTAAAACACTCAAATATGTATCTTAAAAGCCACCAGATGGCACGATAGTGCTTCTAGATCTAAAAAAAATTAGGGGGGGACACCCCGTACCCCCCTAGAATGGCTTCGCGCCTTCGGCGTTCGCATTTGCATCTTCGGTGCGACTTTCTGCATGCACATACAAAACAGACCAGCTACCCGCCTGGCAGTAGATCAATTTTGTTTTCTTCAAAGACCATTTAGCAGAAAACACGGGAGACAACCCCCGATTTCGCAGCGGGCCCCGCACTCGCAGTGTTTTACAACATGCAGTTGGATACATCAAGCCTATTCCTGGAACTGCTAGAACTTCAACATGTATTTGGTAAATTAATGATAATAATATACGTGTTCAGTATCAGAGATAATATAAAGTCAGATAAGGTTTTGATATTTACAAAATAACATTTATTATCAAGAATGACAATAAAATTGAAATTAAAAATATATTTAATTTCACTGTCAATAGACACAATTAGTTATTAACCACATTTAACCACATAAAACTAGTTTACAGTATTTAAGTAATTTATAAACAGAATGAAATTAATAGGGAACATTTTTTATTTCCTTACGATAAATAACTTGTTGACATGTACACACACTTTTTCTGTGTTTCATAGACTACTTTATACAAACTTACTATTAAAATAGAAAAAGGTCTCCAATGTAACTCCAATTAATTAAAACAATTTAGAGACCAAAACAACTGCGAAGGGTAGCAATGATTATAATAATAACCATGAGGTGTTTACGTATATCTACACCGCTAGTCAATTTATTAGTAAGTCTAAGTTCATTGCACCAAAAGTGCATTCAAAAGATAGTGTACATTGAACTTTAGCTACCCAAGTCACACACTGCTATACTATTCAACTAGTTGTCGGGGGCATCTTCAATGAGCTTGTCTAAGGCAGCGACAGAGGAAAAGTCCTCCTCAGTCATGGTCTGTACGGTATGAGGTATGACGCTCCAAGGCACGCCAAAGTACTCCTTTTCTGTGTCATCGTCCCTCACGATAAACTGCCTTATCTTCAACACTGCAAAAAATAAATTTCGCATACAAATACCTGCTCCCCAATCAGAACCACATTTTATACAATAGACTTTGTACCTTTTTGTCATGTTTTCATAACATGTGACTTTCTTTTTAAGCCGACGTTTAGCTTTTTTGTAGAAATCTCTGCCTACGACAATGTAATTGGTTTCTTTATAGCGTCTAATGTCAGGGCTAGACACTGCGACTTCCTGACACCTCAAACATCGCAATGTAAAGTTGCCTTGCGTCTTATTCTTTCTTCCAGCCTCTCTGGAGCGCTCCTCCTCCTCAGCCTCTGTTTTAGTGATGGAGTCCATGCGTTTATTGACCTCCTGTCGGATGCTGTCGACAGGCCGACCTAATACCATCTCCAGCGCCTGATTCATCAGTGTCAGTTTCATTACGTTCCCCTGCTCCTGTCTGTGTTTCCGTTCGTTAGCAAAGTCTATGACGGTCCCACCCATTGCCCTACTCCTTCCTGTAATAAATATTTTAGATACATTTTTTCTGGATGATAGTTATGGGTTGAAGTATGTTTCAGTCGACTTTATATTCAATCTTTCACATACACACATTTAGTACACATTTACGTTGATTACTTCATATTGAGTAACTATTTAAATGCATTTAAAATACACATTGACCCTCGTTTTCATGTTCAGGGAATGTGTCTAACATCAGGTTTGGTTTTGTATTGTTGAACGTCCTATTAATAGTTAAGGTCATTTAAGGACGTGCATCCATGTGAGTTGTTTAAGCGTGCATGTCTGTATGTGTGCCGGATACAGGGTATGTTGGTGTACTTGCCTACTTGTGATAGCGCGGAGCTAGACATGACGCCGACTGTATAGTGCTGCTATCTCACTGAAATACCATGCAGAAGCCACCAAGCACTGAGTTCCGCCCGGTCACATCATACTGACAACGGGTGAACTAGTTGTTGTCATTTCTCATAATGCTGAACGTTAAGCATGTATAACTATTATTTTTAAGGATTTTGGTATGCCTGGGTACAGAACCCATTTCCTTCCACATCCGGACCAAACACTCAACATTAAAGCCAAATGTGCGGTATTGCCAAGCAAGGCTTTAGGAAATGAAACAATGTAGAAGAAAAAAGAAAGATTAAGATTCCGGCAGATTTATTTTGGTCGCTTTTAAGTCCCCTAGTAGAGGGCGCACATAGCAAAGCAGGATTAGCACATTGGTCGCCTCTTACATGCAGTGGGTAACATCAGGTGTATTCTTTTCTCGATCCCCGACCTGCAGGGGTGGTCTGACATCAGACGTAGTAGGTAATCTACATGCGATACGAAGCACACTCGTGGCATGTATGGTGGAGTAAGGTAAAATGTCATATGTAGGCTGACAGAAACTCACACTTGAGGCTTGCATGGTATAGGGAGACAAAGTAGTGTGTTGGCTATTATAAATGGCTGCTTACTAATTGTATGGTTTGGCTTTGGTTTTTTGTAACGTCCTATTACCAACGAAAGGCCTTTAAAGTGTTCCTCCATGTGTATTATGATGTTTGTTTGTATGTGTGTTGTAGGCATTGTGAATTTGCCAACATGCGATTGCCAGGATCTGATGCCGATTTTAATGCAGTACCCCGCTGAAATATCATTCCGACATGGCTCGCTGGAAAACAACATTAAATCAGCAGGTTTCATCAACACCATTTTCATAAATGAACAACTCTGGTCCAACCGTTTTTAAAGAATTACAAGAGCACCGCGAGCGGAAGCATGATACGCCCGTCAGACCCTCGAAAGGATATTGATATATTAGAAGTAGGTAGTGACATGATTTTAAAGTGTTTACTGCCACCGTTTTGTTGGTGACTGTGACCTTGCCATGTATTTACCTGTAAAATAAGTTAAACATGTTTGAACTTTGTATTACCAAACTAAATTTGAAAGGAATTAAACAAACAATTTAAAAGTCCTTGAATTTTTAACAGAATGTCCCTATTTGGAAATGAAGAAGGGGCATAACTCTGCCGAATAGAGTTTAAATGTCACGATTTAAGAACTCTTCCAACGCATTCAGGTAATAAAAATCAGAGAACAATTGTTCTCGTGTAAACAATCAAAAGTTAACGGCAAAAATGAAGTACAGTGTTGCTGTGTCAAGTGTGATATGCCAAAACGCGGAGGGTTGAAACTCTACAGAAAACACGTAATATTTGTTAAACATTATTGCTTCTAGCATTACCGTACAAAATTTGAAAGAAATTGATTAAAAAATAAAAAATGTTTTTGAATTTACTACACAATGCCCTTATTTGACAATAAAAAGGGCATAACTCAACCCAAAACGCACGTACATTCTGAAATGCGAAGTTGTTCCAGCTATATTGGTATGCAATACGTGTACCAAGTTTCATCAAGATATGTTCATGAATGAAGACATGAGAGCTATAACAAGGAAACGTTAACGAACGGACATAGGACAACGCAGCCTATACCATCATACGACCCGTCGGACGACGGGCGTATAAAAAGCGGCTCATTTGTTGCCATTAAATGCCAACTTTAAGCAAGGAATAACGACCACCTTTTTAAAGGAATTTGGTATACCCTGGCAAAGGGACAGAACCAAATGCTTATGCAAACACTCTGCACAAGGACAAAAGTGAAGCGAAGCCATGGAAGGTGTAAGGATAGAAAATATGATAATTCTAAATATAGCAATAGATGTATCAGATTTATTTTCATTCTCGTTGTTTTCCCAAATGGAGGGCGAGGAAATTTAATTATACAGGGTTTCCGCATAACTTGTATCTTACATTCCCAATCCCCGACTTGCAGGGGTATGAAGATTGTTTGACGAGAAAAGGTGAGGAAATGTGAAACAGACATTTGTTGCTGTAATGATGAAAAAGGTTAGGTAGCTATAAGGCTATGTAAAATACACACCTGCAGCTTGTATGGTGGATATTTCGTTGCTAGATTGGTTGTAACGGATGACGAAGTTACAGGCAGGTATGTCCAAGCCTTCTTCGGCCACCTGTGTCGCCACCAGTCCGTTGATTTGTTTTGACAGGAGTCTTTGCACTACCCAGTTATACTCGGCTTGGGACTGTTCTGTCGGAAAAATAAAGCCTTGTTATGTCTTATACCACACGGGTCTGTTTATCATTAGGTAGAACTACAATAAATTATGGTATGCACATTCAACATGTGTTTTGTAGCTGTTTCTCGTGACCTATCGTTACACTCCTTCGTTAACATATATATCACTACGTCAATAATATCTATCAGTTTCGAATCAAGAGATAACTCGGTCTTGAATCGTTGCGACACAGTAACAGTGCATCGTCTGTGTATTATTCTTCCACACAACCTATACCTTACAAGATATATATAAATATATGATGTTAAAAGAAAAATTCTCAACAACGAGTCTTTAGTACTTTCTTCTCTTCTCCTAGAATAGATGAAAGTACTAAAGACTCGTTGTTGAGAAATTTTTTTACATTATTTCTTCGTCCGTAAGGAGAATTTTTCTGCTTTTATCATATATATATATATATATATATATATATATATATATTTGGCTTCATTTCTCACAGTGAGTCGATAAGAAATTCACATATCTCACAAGCATATAAACCTATACGATAGAAAATGGAATATGATCTTAACTGGACATTTTCCTGATTGAATTCAATTTATCGTCAATAATTCTATGGTCAGTAGTCGTGAAGATGGGTATTCACAAAAAATATGTGCTTAGCAAATCAATGATATATTAGCATGTGTATTGAATAGTGCGTACTTCCGTCGCCATCTGCCGTTGACTGTGCGCTTATTAGGAAACAGCATTTAGCGAAGGAGGATTTCTCTGTCAGGTACTTTGATACGGCGACGGCAGATTCTCTTTGTTCTACAAACACAATGAATGTGGAATCTTTCCCTTTCTCCTCAAAGTTTTTGTCAACCATCTTCCGGAGTCGGACAATGTTTGGATTCTCATATTCATCGTTCTTTGAGAGGATTTCCAACTTCTTGGTGACGCCTGTAACATGAAATTAATTTAAAACAAGAGGCCAAATGGGCTTGTATCACTCACCTGGTATAAATCTCACAGAGCTACAAGCAAAATATCAGTATTCATGATTAAAAGTCATTTAAAAGAAGCTGTTAAAAAAATTTAAAACGTGTCATCATGTGGTGACCTTGAAAGTCGAACAAGGTCATTGTGTTGAACAAATTGTATAACCCTTAATCTTAGGATGCAACTTGCAAAATATCACAAACCTATCCTTTTGTTTATTGAAATTAGTTCATTGAAATGTTTATCCAAATTTGACACCTGTGACCTTGAAAATTATTCAAGGTCATTCATTTGAACAAACTAAGAAGCCTTTGATACCAGCAAGCTACTGACCAGATATCAACATTCTAGGCCTTACGGTTATTCAGAAGATTTTTTTAAAAAAAATTTTTAACATATTTGACCCCTGTGACCTTAAATATTATTGAAGGTCATTCATTTGAACAAACTTTGGTTTTTAAGATGAAGTTGTTTAAAGTAAAATATTGACGCCGGACGACGGACGGACGACGGACGCCGCACCATGCCATAAGCTCATAAATAAGGATTTTTTAATTTCAAAAGAAAGGCAATGAACATGATTAGAAACATAATGCGTAGAGCTTACCAAGTCAGTTTCCACTTAAGTTTCCTATAATATTGTTAGATTTTATTGTAGTTAACGTGATTTCTTAAAAAAAGACACGCTAGTTGCTTTATTATAATGTTTGAAATAGACTTTTAACATCATTAAGGTATGCAGAATGTTCTAAACCACATTCCGTAATTTTTTTTGTTAGTTTTTCAATAACATTAACGGCTGTCAAACAAAACTGAATGGTAATTGAAGTATATTATTAATGGTTACAAAAACAATAGTAGAAATATGCCAGAAAAAACATTTAAATATACAAAAATACATTGATTGATTACAGAAACTAAGCTACCACTTTGTTACAAGTTACTTAACATTGTCTTGCGTATCTCTGTTACTACACATGTAACTTTGAGTAACGTTTCTCTGTTACTACACATGTAACTTTGAGTAACGTATCTCTGTTACTACACATGTAACTTTGAGTAACGTATCTCTGTTACTACACATGTAACTTTGGGTAACGTATCTCTGTTACTACACATGTTACTGTGAGTAACGTATCTCTGTTACTACACATGTAACTTTGAGTAACGTATCTCTGTTACTACACATGTAACTTTGAGCAACGTATCTCTGTTACTACACATGTAACTTTGAGTATCGTATCTCTGTTACTACACATGTAACTTTGAGTCACGTTTCTCTGTTACTACACATGTAACTTTGGGTAACGTATCTCTGTTACTACACATGTTACTTTGAGTAACGTATCTCGGTTACTACACATGTAACTTTGAGTAACGTTTCGCTGTTACTACACATGTAACTTTGAGTAACGTTTCTCTGTTACTACACATGTAACTTTGAGTAACGTTTCTTTGTTACTACACATGCAATGGCTACTAATGAAAAACTAGTACCAGTGTTGAAGTTGCAGATGAAACAGTTAAAACATCTTACTTGTGTAAAGGCTGACACATGTGATTTCAGTCTCGTCATTTCCTGATTCGTCCACATCTGTATTGTCACCTCCTGTATTGACCACGCCTGTATTATCACTTCCTGTATTATCCTCGTCTGTATTGTTTCGGGATGAGTTAGAGATTACTACTGCGTTCTTTTTTCCTCCTTCCAGTATTTTGTATTTCAGTGACGAATGATACAAATGCTCCAGCACGTCTTTCATACATAATGTGTGGTTTACACTCAGAGCAGTCTGGTACATCTACAAAATAGATATCTCGTCCTTTAACTATTCACAATGCAAATCTGTTTTAACGTTTACAGATAAACTTTGCAGGCAGATTGTCGACCAATCTGTTGTGGGCGAACATTGGCGTCACTTCATAATACTTCCCTGTTACATCTTTTATTGAAACTTTCCATAACTATTCTTGATTGTAATAAACACATTATATTCAGTTTCGGGGTTATTTTGAGAAAGGATTTTATGATTTTAGCAGATAATACGATCCAGCCAATATTCTTTATAAAATACATTAGAGCAGCCATTGGAAGGCACATTTTCTCGATAAATTGGACATCGTCCGTTAACCTGTACGAAGAAACACAGAGACATAAACACACTTCACTATCAATATTACCAAAGATGACTGTACAACTTACTGTTAGGTGTTCTGCTATCACAATTGCCTGATGTTTAATTTCCGGTGTTAACTCTTCACTTCGAGGGAGAGCGCCCATGAGTCGGGACAGCCAAGACTGGTACTGCTGTTCCATTCGCATTTTGTCAGGTATTTCCCCCAACAATTTGTGCACGTTCTTGTCAAGATCACACACTAGACGGATACAGAAAACGTGAATGGTATTATCTATTGTTTAGTAAATGTTTACTGTTTAGGGACATAACATAGCCTCATTCTATTTATAAAACCTGTGAACGTTCACAGGTACATTAAGAACTCAAGAGATTCCAAAGGCCAAGTGTCGTCGCTAAATCTCACGACAATACTTCTAGAACGGATGAGTAGTGTAGTAATCAGTGAAAATGAGTGGGAAACACTGACTGATTGGCAATCTAACATTTCCAACGAGGTGATATCATCCTCGTACCCATTTTACAGTGAAGACATGTCGTGCAGTTAGTGGCTGGATGAGTGTATTCAAAGAGTTGACGAATAGCATTTATGGATACAGTAAGACTCACATTTGTCTTGGAGCCATGTCTCAAGTCGACCCATAGCGTCCTCTATAGTATCTCTCATTGGATCAGTCGTACGGTCCTTCATGACTTCGGAATCTGAAATAGTAAACACTTTGTCAAACGATGGTTTTATTTATCATTAACAATCCAACGGTACAGAAGGGGAAAAAATAAAGACTTAAACCTCAAATTCGCTTTTTGGACCCAATCCCTCTGCACCCAGAGAGGCAACACTCCATTTATACAAAACTAAGTCTCCTTTGCCCAATGATGTTCCAGGCCAAATTTGGATAAAATCCCTGAAATGGTACAAAATAAAATTTAAACCTCGCATTCCCATATTGGGACCTGACCCACTGTATCCAGAGGGACTACACCCTTCGTTTATACAAAATTTAGTCCCCTTTGCCTAAGGATGCCAAATTAAGTCAATGTGTATAAAGGTGTTTAAGACTAGAAGCTTTTTTTAAGGAAAAGTTGACGGACAACGGACGCCTGCGGTACGACATAAGCTCACCATTGTCTTTCGGATAGAGTATAATGTGAGCGTACGTTTTTCGGGTTCTGGAAACATTTGTGTGTACTCCTTCCTGTTGATCCGGGGGGTAGCGATCTTGTGAACATTCATTCGGGCCATTAGTTCGAGGATACTTTTCTCTGCGTCATCTACATTGCAGGCCCGTTCAGTTCCTACCGACGCTGTCAATCCGAGAATCTAGTAAAGAAAAAAAACAGTGAGGGCTGGGGAAATCGTGACGACGGACAAACGTTATTCAGAAACAATATTTTAAAGCGTTAAGGTTTCAATCACAGTACAACACAAGAAATACGGCTTTTCATTGCGGGCACATACACCAAATCAATGTGACTTGCGATGCAGTATACATACCTGTGGTAGTTTGACGGTGCTATCTTGAAGTAATTTCCTGTAGTATTTCATAATCTGGTTGTATGGTTCTTTTTTACGTGTGTGGTGGCACTCATCAAATACGAGCATAGAAAACAAATCTAGCGACACGGTCTCTTCTGCCAAGTATTTCTCAAGTGTCATGGGAGTGAGGACACAGACGCGGAAGTGCTGTGTATTCGATAAGAGGGTAACCTCGTTCTGTTCCACTCCACTGAACTTCATGATCTGGTGCTATCAATATAAAGGCATTTATTATTCCACGATTAAGGTATGTGCTAAATGTGCTATTCAACTATTTTCTATTTGTTCATGACTTGAATCATTATTCAGTTCCTGCAGGTAGGGCGTAAGTATTGTACCTACAGGTATGGCTTAAGAGTTGTACCTGATACTCCCATTGCATGATAGTAAGAGGCGACTAAGTTTGGGATATTATATTTTCTGTTCTATTTAAACAACTTACCCCTTACCCACCTTGACAATGCCTCACTGTTGGCCTTTAGTTGAGCGTTCGCCCTTATGAGTAAGGCTTTTGGTTCTGTTCCCTATCCGAGACATACCAAATTCATTACAAATGGTAATTCCTATTTCTGCTTGACGCTCAGCAATTTTATGAGTGACGACAAATACGAGCATATCTCAGCCTCCCAAAACACACATACATTTATTACACACATACATCTTGCACACAGGGGAGGCCGTCATTAACTGACCATAGTTGTTGATAGGACGTTAAACAATACTAAACCAAACCAAACCAAATGAATCATTATTCACTGTACCTTACCTTTACCGCATAGAAGGCTTACAGTAGAATACAGGAGTTACGTAGACGGACGGTTTTATTCTCAGACCTAATCGCTAAGAGCTGCATGATTCAGTTTGATTTTTCAAATATTAAATCAACTGTGTGTGTGGTCGGGTGAGTATGTTTTATGTTTCGATTATTATAGCAAAGCCACACATATTTTATGTAGCTGCTAATAAGGAGTACTTTTCTATCCCGGGCATGCTCACAGACGTAGTGCTTACTTTTCACACAGTCTTGATTATGCCCCAGCTAATATATGACAATAATACATAATATATAATAATTTGAAAATAGGAAGCAAAATGTGTCATACAATTAAACAAAATATCTATAAAAAATAGCATCTTATATAAAACTCTAATTATATATGTTATAAAGGTAATGTTACTTGTGGTAAACATATATTTTATATACAGAAGAGTCATGGACCTACACTTAATAAGAAATGACTGTACATCTACCTTATACTTGGGTAAGAATTTACGTATCACTTCATACTGTTGATCCAGAAGCGTCATCGTAGTGTTGAAAAATGCAATTTTCCCTGAAAAGAAAAACAAGTCAAAAAATAATTCAAACTAAAAAAAAAAAGTTTTTTTTAAAGGTCGGAACTTTTTATCAATTTAATAATGTTTGAGTGCAGGTAATGATAAGGAATACATCTAACTGTTTACAAATGTGGTTTTGTTACAGAAAAGATGAATGTTTCACAATAATAACAACAGATTAAACAGGGAAAAGGATTCAATGATTTAGTGTGAAAATGTACACTGTTGTCACAAAGCCGAAATAAGGTTCCTTTGTCTCAATTTTTTGTTTTTTGTTTCATTTTCCCCACCGAGATGTAATACAGTGTGTCTTGGGTTATTCTCCGGTTCTTGATGAATCAAATATATGCTTCTTTTGTATATGGTCTTTCATTTCATTCGTACTACTTACTACTGACACAAATCAAATTATTTACCTCATCAGTGTAATTCATCATGATATCATGGCTACCATCAATTGTATATAGGTGTAAATTTATGGCCTTAAACAAGTTAATTTCATGACATAACCTACATAACAATTTTGATATGACATCTATACTAAAATAGTTGTTACATGTACAGAGAATTTTTGCGTAATTTTGAAATGTACTCGAAATGTCTGTTGTACAGCGTATTTGCAAAATATAGTTGACTGTGAAAAAGATATCCCGAGCCGTCGACACAACCAAGTTAAATATAGTATCTACACTTGTTTAATATACAGTTCAGATAACATTTTATATCTTATTTGATGAGATCGTAGAAGTGAGTGAACCTCCACCAAGCTCAATTATCTACTTCCGAGCTATAAGTAGACACACAAAGCAGCTTTGGTTTGGTTTGGTTTGGTTTAGTATGTCCTATCAACAGCTATAGCATTTAAGGACGGCCTCCCCTGTGTGCAAGATGCGTGTGTGTAATGTATGCGTGTGTGTTTGGGAGGCTGCGATATGTTCGTGTTTGTCTCCTTGTGATAGCGCGGGATTGAAACCAACGGCCGAAGACACCCGGCAGGACACCCCACCCGGTCACATTATACAGAAAACGGGCGAACCTGTCGTCCCACTCCTAAATTGCTGAGCGTTAAGCAGGAGTAGAAACTACCATTTTACAGACTCTGGTATGTCTCTTTCAGGGGACAGAACTCAAAACGTTCCTCACAGGGGCGAACGTTCAACTAAAGGCCAAAAGTGAGGCATTGTCAAGAGAGAAAGCTGTTAAGAAAGAAGAGAAAAGATAATATCCCAAATTTAGTCGACTCTTACGATCATGCAATGGAAGCAGCAGGTACAAGTATTACGCCCTGCCTGCAGGCACAATAATCTATGAATTTAAAGTTGTATCTTAAGGTTATATTTTAGGGTACTTTTTGTGAAAAACTTGACAACAGTCGAAAATATAGTTACTGAAGATAAAATCCTGAGATAACGGGGATCTTTGTTGACAATAGCTTTGTTGACAATATCTATGTTTGGTTTGATGACCAAATATTTATCAGGCTGTACACTTTCCCACAAGAACAAGTTGTGTCCTTCAACTAGGCTACTTGGCTGAATATATTGAAGAGTTTACTGGACGATATCAATCTTGGAATGCTCTTCTAATACTCTTTCAGATATACTGACAATATGCTGTCTATCCAAGAATACATTCACCAGTCTGATCGTTTATACATCCCGATACACTTTAAATCATGGCCACTGCGGATTCAGTGTTTACCTTAATGTACACGGCATATGTCGTCCTAGAATCAGACAACTCGATTTCTTCTGGATCATCCCTTCTTTTTCGAATGTATTTCCGAAAGGTAACCATTTTTTCATTCATTAATTTTGCGCCGTTTTATTGCATTCTAGCTCCCAATATGGAAGTCTGTTTTTTAAATGTTTGCCTTCCGCAGTTTAAATCACTTTGTCAAATGGCAATTTCGCATCTCATGTTTGACAGATATGCTTAGTCTATTATGTACCTATTTTCGCGGTAGTGATAAATTTGCCTACCTCACTGAGGACGAAATATTACAGCGAAAATGTCCCGGTACACTATAGAAAGAGAAATTTTCATATTGGTGACTAAAAGAATAATTCATGAATAATCATTACTCTCAGGATAGATGCTGCACCTGTTTGGGTGATTAAAGAGCCATACCTGTTGGGTTGTTGTCAAGGTGATTCTTCATAATGTACACGGCAACCCTGGTCTTCCCTGATCCTGTCCGTGCCCAGATGATTGAATTCTCCCCTTTTAGACCATCCTGTGCTATTTCCATTTGATAATCACGCAGGGGGAAGTCTCCGTTGATGTCAGGTCCATTTTCCGTCGGGTCTAGTATTTGGGAGAAAACAGAGTTAGCTTTTGGAAGGATCTGTTATAGATCTATAGATCCAGAACTACTGAACAAAGGCACACCTAATATAAAATCGTTCCGCTCAGAAATATATTCAATAATTAGAGATTATCAAACTCGTTTTCAAAGTTTTGTTATAAATTGACTACGGTTGTGTTTTGAGGTTAAATGTTTCCGTAGCAGCTATGTTAATGTGAGGACGGCTGATCATTGTGGTTTCTTCAGTGTCAACTAAGGGGAAGACCGAGAAGATAACTTCGATAATTTAGACTCCCCTCAATACACTCACCCATCAGTTAAAAATAAATATAAAAATGAACAAACAAACATGACGAATTTATTATACCCGTTTCCAGCTTTCTCAAAATATGTTATACATATATAGTACACAACTTTTTGTACCGAATTGGGAATTTTCAATTACCAGAACGGTCATTTTTCGGACGATCCAGGCTGTTCATGATATCGCCTGACGCTTCACGTGTATACACTATACTTGTGTCGGCTGACGTATCACGTGGGTCCTCCGTAACGTCAGGTGTGCTCTCAACAAGCTCGGGTTCTTTGTATGCAACACATAATATTACACACTTTATGTAACGGCCCATCGACAATGTAAGACATTTAGGGCCAACAATACTTTTAAAAACAACATTCACGAAAATAAACACATCAAACCAAAACTAAATAGGTTAACATAAGTAAAGGATAAAAGAAATACATCAAATCGAACAAATTGGCTGCACAATATATCATATATTATTGTAAATAAATATACAACATAAATATACAACATTTGATATTGCGCCATATCTAGCTAACACAAGTCACTCTAAAGCGCTTTACAGTACATAGATATACAATGTTGTACAGTCAATACAATTAGCATATATATTAATCAATACATGTTTTGAGGAATTAGCAGGAGCTGCCTTATCATGCACTAACTACTAGTCCTGTGCCTGTGTGTGTGCTTGAGATGCATTGTGTAATGTTCAATTGAGTGTAAATAGTCAAATATTAATTGCACGGAAACTGTATCGAATAATCCGCTCATAGATGGTACATCATTAAATCTGTCATGTATTTGTTTGAAATCAGCGCATTCAATCATAAAGTGTTTGACTATAAATGGTGGATCGCATGTATGACAAATAGGCTGGTGGTCTTCCTTACGCAATAAGTAACACTGGATCTATCTAAATAAACAGAACAGGGACGTACAAAAAACAACACATTTATATATACAGAAACATCACGATGACGTACAGTGTATCAATGAATAACACGTGGACGTTTATAAATAAACAAAAAATAAACGAATATAAATAAACATCCCATTGACAAATAAATTAACAACAGACATGACCGTACATAAGTAATCAACACTTGGATGTATATAACCCTAACCCCTAAACAATACAGTGATTTATATCAATAAACAGCACATAGATGTAAATACATCAACAACACATTGACATATAAATTAACAACACACATGACCGTACATAAGTAATCAACACTTGGATGTATATAACCCTTACCCCTAAACAATACAGTGATCTATATCAATAAACAGCACATGTATGTATATAAATAAACATCACATGAAAGTGTATAAATAAACAACAAATGGGTTACTTTAAATAAACAATCCAACAGCATCATCTAATTATACATACCTCTAAAATATATCAAGATGAGGTTACGATAGTACTATGATTTACCTTTTCAAGAACATAATATGTCTAACCTTTAATGCCCAGGTCATCACCAATACCTTGTCTCAGGAGTGTCCTATCTGCCCCGCCAGAACTTATTCCCAAGATTCAGCAGTAGGATTCGCGAACTTTACCCATCCGCTACATGTATCAGCAATACGTGCAACCTACTTCATCTGTATTCTCAAAGAGCTGTATGCGATTTGACCTACCTGACCTCCAATATAGTAATAACCCTACAGATGATTTACCAGGTGTGGCCTACTTACCATTGAAGTTGTATTCTTCCTCCAGTTCTTCCGCCAGAGGAACCATTTCCTGTGCCCGCAAGGCTTCAAGAAATGCTGCTGCCCTTTTCGAGACAGGTTCTTTTATATTCTGTATGTTCCATTTATCCAGGCCATCTTTAATCATATCCTCTAACTGTCCATGGTTGTTGAATTTGATATGGTATATGACAACCCTAGTCAGACCTAGACGTACCAACAAGCCATCCCAACCTTCACCGATCCTCCTCGGTAGATCTGTGATTAATGACAAGTCCGAGAATAGCTCAGCCACTGAAACAGTTAAATATACGGTGAATTGCAGTGTTTTACGCAATGTACCTTTTTGTTGTTTCGTCATTTAATTATAAAAAAAGTTCAAACATTATAACGTTTATCTCATTTCGATAAAAAGTTCATATTCTATCTCTTAGCTTTTCAGAGATCATCACCCTATATCTTTTGTTGAAGAGGATTTTTAACGAGTTATACACAATTGAGCAGATGTGAGCTTGAAAGACTATAAGTAATTCACATGAACAAACAATCACACTGGACCTTTGGGTTATTCAGAAAATGTTTAATGATTTCAACGTATTTGACCCTTGTGACCTTAAAGATTGGTGAAGGTCATTCATTTGAACCAACTTGGAAGCCCTACATATCAGCAAGCTTCTGACTACATATCATCACCCAAGAACTGTTGGTTATACAGGAGAAGTCGTTTAAAGGTTTTTAAAGACAATGAATCCCCATCATGTGGAATATGGGCGAAATTTGAACTGACTTGATAGGCCTTCATTCCAGTATGCTAATAGCCAAATACAATCACCCTAGACCTTTTGATTACTCAAAAGAAGTTGTTTTAAGTTTTATTTAAGACAATTGGCCCCTGTCACTTTGAATATGGGAGAACATCGTTCATTTGAACAAACCTAGTAGCCGTTCATCCTTGCACGCTTCTGGCCAAATATCATCAGCCTGGACCTTTGGGTTATTCAGAAGAGTTCATTTAAATATTATAACCTCTATGACCTTGAATATTAGGGAAAATCATTCAAATAGACATTTCTCATTTTGAGGCAGACTTACCTAGGAGCCAGAGACGGACACAAAGAGTAGTATAATCAGGAAACATCTCAAAATTATTTTTTATTTCATCTGTATTAGGGATTCCTGTCCGCTGCTTGCGACAACACACATCCCCTGATTTTCATTACATGTTCAACTGATATACTTTTTTTTAATTATGGTTTATACTGAAAACAAAGACGCGGTGCATGCTAGAGTTGATCTCAGTAGTATAGAAATCCGAAATTCACCCCCCCCCCTCCCCGTATTTAAATATTTTGGTTGTGTTGCATGGAAAAATTCCATGAAAGCTGTGATTTAAAACTAAGTCGAAAATAGCAGGAACCTGAATTAATTTCTACTTTTCTTCGGTTGTTATTTTTCAGGAGAATAAACAAGAACATATGACAAGACAGACAACGACTCCTTTTATGGCTAATAGTGTAGCGTATGTAGTGTTTAAAGTAGATGACAGAATAATAAAGGTCGCTTCGTCTCCATCATGTTACTGTTGCAAAGGAACATTTATAAACGTTACTTTGCCACGTAGGTATGCTAATAAACGTCCATTTGTCCAACCAAAATCTATACAAAAATGCAAAGGAATTAAGTGACGAAAATGTGTGAAACAAGTTCCTTCAACTTAACGCTATTTTAAAAAGACACCGTGTAAGCGTTAAACATTTCTTTCGAAATATGGAAATATCGTGTCCTAAGAAGTTTGTGGATGGCAAATTTAATCTACAAATGAATATGTGATCCCTGTCACTCTTGTAAAATACGAACTTCTTCCAACTGATTATTTTGGCTTGGGGAATTTCTTTTAACTCAATCGGCGTCAGAAAAATACAATATACGTCCTGGGTGAGATCCTTAACGGATATATTGAAATATCAAATACCACGTTTACATACCTGCAGCTTTGAACCACCAAAAAGACTATAACGACTGTGGTTACCGGTTACATAATTGCTTACATGTGTCTCCATTTAATGTTACCTGTTCGTTTACCTGTAGTCACTTTACATGTGTGTGTATACGCTCTGACATACCCTATACACTTCGTTCCATGTAAAATTATTTTTCAAATGACCCCTGTATTTGCCTGTCTATGTCTCTGTCTCCACGCTCCGTGCTAGGTCTACCCCAAAATGAGAAAGGTCTTTTAGAAAGACTTGGTAGTTTATCAGAAGAAGTTGTTTAAATATTTCAACAAATTTGATCCCTGTGTTTGTGAATCTGTATTATAATCTGTAATATAAGTTATATTACCTCTTCTCCAAATAACCTCCAGTAGTGTTATAACATTTTTATGATTAATTCCATATTCTCCTTGCCGTATAATGTTTAACATAGCTACTGCTTTAGTAACAAATGGACAATGATTTGTCAATATGATCTCTCCTCATTAGTGAGTTCATTTTCTATATACTGTATCGATTTTTGTCTCGTGTTGAATAAACAAGAGTGAAATCTTGTCTGTTCTTTTTACATCTTAAGATAATTCTGTTTTGAGGTATCCGCCTTCCCCAGTATCTATCTCATACTTGTCGCCTTCAAAGTAGAAAGTGATAAATGTTCCAATACATTTAAATAGACTGAATAAAGCTACTCACTCAATAACATTACCTATGACAAAAAAAGAACCTGTCACACACTTTTCAAACATTTGACCCATGTTACATTGAGAATTTATGAAGGTCGATCCTTCTTAAAATCCGAAATCCTTTTATTTTAGCGTGCTTCTTGTCAAACATCACCACTTTAGCCTTTAGTTGGTAGTTTCTGACATCTTTCATCATTAAGAAAGGTCAATCAATCAGACTTGATATACCTTATCTGAACCTGGGTTTGACCAGAAATCATCACCCTCGGCTTCTTGGTTCAGAAATGGTTAAAAGGTTTGTTTCAACTCATTTTACCCTAGGACAGAGGGTCCAGAACACTACAGCACGGCTGGTTACTCGTACTCGAAAGAGAGAGAGAGAGCACATCACACCTGTGCTATATTCATTGCACTGGTGACCTGTACGATACTGGTTGCAGTACACTACACAAACATGGCGCTGAATGGAACCGCTCCTCAGTACCTATAGGAGCTTGTTACCCTGTAGCAGCCGTCACGATCACTACGGTTGGAGTCAGAATCATTGTTGTGTGTCTCAAAATATCGTACTGTGACCTATGGAAACCGTTGCTTTAGGAGGGTTTCGGCCACGTTGCAGAATAGCTTACCTTCTGCTACTAGAAAATCAAATATCCTGGACAAATTCAAGAGGGACATCAAAACTAACTCTTCACATCTGCATTTTTGGATCTCTGCAAAGACGTCATGTAAATACCACCCTTTATTTGTTCAATTACATGGTGTGTGTGTGTATGTGAACATTGCTTGCTTAAATGTATAAAAGTGATTGTAAGCCTTTGTTTTTGTTTCACAAGTATAACTAATACTATTATCCATATGTTGTACAGCGCTTTTGAGTAATTTTACAAATTATATAGGACGCTATATAAATGTTGTATATTATTATTATTATTACAAGCTAACCGGTAATAAGATTTATATATATATATTTTAAATGCCGCCGTGACTATTCTCCATAATTATGTTTATTGAAGATTTAATAGAAACTGTGGTTAGGTATACATGTAGCAAACACTAGTGAAAGCAAGTTTTTTTTTTTATAAAAGCACTGGACAAAGTCTTGAGTGTAATCAGCCCAACAGAACTCAAAATATAAGTAGTGCATTTCATAAACTGATTTTCTATTTATATAGTAACAGTGATAGAGACCTAACCCCGGGCCTGGAAAGTTATCCAAAGCAGGCACTTTCTTTGAGGAAGCACGCTATAAAATCAAGAGTGTAATCAGCCCAAGAGAAATCAAGATATTTTGTGCATTAGTGCATTAAACAGATTTTCTATTTATAGTGACCCATTGACCTTTGACCACTGGACCTGAAAAGTTATCCCAAGCAGACACTTTCTTCCAAAATCTGACTGTAATCAGTCCAACAGAATTCGAAATACAGTGCACAAACTGATATTCTATTTATAGTAAGTGACCTTGATCTTTGATATCAAAGGCTGAAAAGCTATCCAAAAGCTTAAGCAAACATTTTATTACACTGGATAAAGTCCATGTATGCACACACACAAGGTTCTACACTTAAAGTTGATAAGTTGACTTTAATATTCATATGTTTTTTCTGTATGTTATTACCATCTCCATAACATATTGGATGAAGTTGCTAATTGTTTAAATTGAATCAGTTGATGATTTTCTATATAAAGCAACAGTGACCTTGGCCTTGACCTTGGAACCCTGAAACACAACAATGTCCAGGTATACTCATACTTGACCTTTGCATAAAGTTTGACCAAAATCCATGAACAAATGAAGTTGCTAAGTGTTTAAATTGAATCAGTTGTTGATTTTCTATATATAGCAACAGTGACCTTGGCCTGACCTTGGCCTTACCTTGGAATCCTGAAACACAAGGGCATACCCATATTTGACCTATGTATAAAGTTTGACCAAAATCCGTGAAAGAATGAAGTTGCTAAGTGTTTAAATTGAATCAGTTGATGATTTTCTATATATAGCAAGTGTGACCTTGACCTTGGATCCCTGAAATACAACGATTTATGAAGTATACTCATACTTGACCTTTGTATAATGTTTGACCAAAAACTGTCAAAGAATGAAGCTGCTAAGTGTTTACATTGAATCGAGACGGGACGCGACGGGACGGGATGATTTTCTATGTATAGCAAATGTGACCTTGGCCTTGACCTTGGATCCCTGAAATACAAAGATGTTCGAAGTATACGAAGCGACGGGGCGCCGAACGCCGCACCAGGGCAAAAGCTCACTTGTCCTTGGCAGGTGAGCTAAAAACAGATAGAAGGACAGACGGACGTAAAATCTGATTACTAAAGATGTGCAGGGGTCCTAACAACAAATTGAGTAATTGAATTGGAGAATCCCCCTTTGGGACCCCACTCCTCACCCTAGGGAGCCAGAGTATTAATTAGAGAGACCCTCTGTTAAAAGTCTTCTTAACCAAGTAATGCTCCAGACCATTGGTTTGAAAACATCATCAAGCCATCAAAGGATGTACTGTATAAGGTGATTTATGTCCTCGCAACAGCCAGGGTCATATGAGGACGGGTGTTTCCTATGTGCAAAGGGCTATAACTCCAGGAAAAATAGAAC